TGCTGCTTGATGTCAAAGGAGCATTTGACCTTGTGGCCAAGAATCAACTCCTCAGAATTATGAGCAAGCTCGGACTACCCCTGAAACTATTGACATGGGTCTCTTCCTTCTTAAGTGGAAGATTACTAAGACTTGCATTTGATGGACAAGTAGAAGAATTCAAAAGCATTGACATAGGTATCCCTCAAGGAAGCCTAGTATCACCAATTTTATTGTTGATCAACATTAAGGATATGTTTACTTCTAGATCAGTCAAGTTCTTATCAAACATTGATGACATTGCTGTAACAGTCCCATCACCAAGTCTCAAGACCAACATCAAGATTCTAGAAATGTTACGACTCGTACTTGGAAGTCTTGGTTTTCTGGTATCTGTGGTAGAGAGTCTGGATGAGTAAGCATCGGTCCCGGAAGCGAGCTGTTGGGCTTAACTCAGCGAGGCTGGAAGCCTCTTCTTCTCTTTGCCTTTTCTTTTAGTTAGCGAGCGTAGCTTTAGGTCCAAATGCAAAGCAATAATTCTCTCATCTTTCGAAGGAGTCTTCTAGTGTCAACCTGAGGTCAGTCGTAATAAGAAAGAGAGACTACAAAGCTGTATGAATGGGGACAACAAAATGCAGTACAATTTGACATTGATAAGACCGAGTTGATACACTTTGTCAATTCCAAGGAATCCCCGAATTATCAACTTCTACTTCCAAATGGCTCAATAGCAGAACCAAAAGAAGTAGTCAAGTGGCTTGGGGTATGGTTTGATAAAGGTCTCTCATTCACACACCACGTGACAACAAGAGTGGCTCAGGCTAAAAAAGAATTTGAAAGAATGGCAAGACTGACCAATACTGAGAAGGGTTTAATTCCACATTCCATGAGACAGCTCTAACCAGAATCAGTCACAACAATCTCTGATTATGCCAGTCCTGTTTAGTGGAACCAACAGCAAAGCTTTAAGGACAAGCTGCAGGTACTTGAAATATTGCACTCCGCAGGATCATCGGATGTTTACGATCTTCTCCAGTAAGACCCATGGAAGTGGAGGCCAACCCATGTCCATCTGAAGTTACGCTTAACCATAATAATCGAAAATATGCTACAAGAATTCTCACTCTTCCGAAAAGACATCCAGCTGCAAAAGTTATTCATCAATCTGAATTTCAGGCCAATTGGGAATCAAGAAAGACATGGCTCCAGCATATAATTTCAAGCCTACCTTATGAAGTAGAAGTGAAACATATTGAACCTATTCAAAGCAACTCTTTCCCAATATAGGGTAGAAAATATCACAGTCTAAGCATAGGCACTTGGGCAACCTTATGGTCAGAAGTAGTTTATTTTCAATCTATGGTGAACTATAGATCGAAGAGGACAGTGACAGCTACTCTGTACATGATTATTATCTCAGCCAATGACACGGCTTTCTATCCGTTTACCCGTATATCCGCACATCCGTTCTCACATTCCACTCTTGCGCCTCATTCTCGGAAGTTGTAGAATATTGATGTTTGTTAGAATTTAGAATAATTGGGGCTATCAAGTGGGCCACTTTGTTGGTACATGTGACGACCAGAAGGGAGCACAGGTTAGTAGATGAACAAGTCGAATTAGGTAATGACTCAGATCTGGAATATAATTCATAAGATTCTAAACTAAGAGAAGAAATTAACAAGAGGTATCTAGAGATATACATATATACATAATTTACAATTGGTCCGTGCGTATATAGGATCACAACACAATACCTGAAAGGAACAATAGTATTAGAGGCCCCGAGGGTCAGGAATGGAGGGCAAGATTGGTCACCTGTACGCGGTGTCCTCTACGAACCTGAGAGTGAAATATTCTCCCGGAGTCAAGTTCAGTCAAATTTCGCAATACCAAAGAAGTTGGCCCACGAGGCGATGATTCAAACATCTCCACCACGTCAAATCTTCACTCCTAGAGAGTCCGATTCCTACCTTAGCTTCATCAAGTCTACAAGTACGAGCTAGTTCATCCTCGTTTCAATGACTACACCTCTCGTCGACTTTCTCTGGCCTCAGCCGGTCACCAAATACACGCCCATGCCGATATTTACACCCGAGGGAGGAAGCAAAGCGTGGCGCACAAATCTGAGAGATAGCTCTTTGGGATGGACGTGGGAGGGATCAGGACAAGTTTACAAGATGATGCAACGAATGGATACAGTCTCGACGGGCGTGAAATTTCGAATTTTGGCAAGGAGTTTTTCGAATTGGGCTTTGTGCGCGCCAAGACTTCGGTTGCGAGAGTGCAGCTGATACTTTAAAAATAAGCAAACGATGGAAGGTGTTGTGGTCCGCCTCCTGGTGGTGTTCTCCGGTATAGTTTGAGTAGCCTGGGCACCTACTCCACTTGGGAAGGAGACACCTTAGATCACATATCGCGCGGAGAAAAGTTAATGGATGATGGAGGCATGTCTGGATAACTCAGGGTTTTTGAGACGTTCCCCTGAGTGGGTATTCACGGATGATGGTTGACTTGGGGTGAAGAAAAAGCCGCCATAACTTCGCAGTGGTACTTGCAAATCAAATCTAAGGCATGAGTGCTCTTCCTTAACGATAAATCATCTTTTCTGTACTTTTCTTTGATATTGTGTCATAGCTAGATAGCTGCATACGCAATTCAAATCTGAAAAAAAAAAAAAGAATAGCACCGTTCATGTGTCATAGCTAGATAGCTGAATACACATTAAATGATTTAAAAAAAAGGGGGACCCGACTTAGCTCATTAGCGAGGCGCTTGGAGTAGAGGAAGAGAGGAGAGAGGGAGAGACAACTTTTTATGTATTTCGAGATACCAGTTCATTTACTTTATTCGCCGACTTCGTGACGGCACCCAATTTTCATTACTTCATGTTTTACCAACGGTATGAGGAGACAACTTTGATTACTACAACAATGGTTGGCCCAATTCAAGGTGTTGGCTTGGACATTGGTCTTTGGTAGAAGATATCGGGATCCAGCCGGCACGAAGGGCGCCGGCTCTTGAAGCTCTGGTTTTCCAACGCATATTGAATTGATCGCCTTTTTAGTACTGAGCCTCTCGCGATGAGCTACACGTGTCGCGTTAAATAAGATGCAATGCACAGCTGCAGGAACTGCCGCCGACCAAGCCGACAGTGGGATCTTCTGGTTCATTCCACTTCCACTGAGCGGAGGAGGACTTTTCTCACCACCTCTCGGTAGTGTCCCCTCGAACCGCCAGCTCTCACTGTAGAGTCTGCAGAGCCGAGATTGAGTATCACCTTCGTCCTCACTTCCATGACCATTCCCAATCCTTTTCGCAGTCTGCATCGTCCTCCTCTCTGAGCACAACCCCCTAACACCATCATCATGGGGGAAAGCCATCTCATGAGTTTCCGGTGCGTTCCCAGCACCGGATACGGCGATGCTAGATTGATTCAAGTTGGCCTCTAATGTTGCAAAGATGGGAGATGTAGATGGACATATAGACCTCGTCTGGCCGGGCTAGCGGTTTTTGAGTATTTTTTCTGCGCGCGCTGATTTCATCGCGACCATTTTCTTGGGTGGAAGGTTCCGTCACGTAGGTGCCGGAATTCCACGGGTAACCACTGAGCTGAATGGCTATTTATCACGGGCAATACATCAATGATCTTTCAAGTAACAAAAGAGGATATGTTACAAATTTGGATGGACGTCTCAGATATCTCTGACTGTGGCTATAATCCACAGAAGATGGATAGAGTAAACTCAGGTTGATTCGTAAATAAGAGTCATGTAGTAGTAGTAATGATGGGCTCTCGAATCAGCTTCCAACACTTTGATACCCAACCCTCTCTCTACAACAACTAATCTATTTACTGCATGATCTTGGTACACGCCTGAGGCAAACTGGATATTTAACGGAATATATTGCCAGTCTGATCAGGGCCATTATACTTTATCGTAGCTGCACGAATCGCTCTCTTTCACCATAACCACCGCAACTATGGTAACTTTTCACAGGATATGAGCACTGCACGAGGTGTAGACTGGGCTGGAGAGGAGCTCAATATGCTAGACACCCATTAACTCAAGAAGTACAATAAACACACTGCTCTCTCTCCACTGAGCGGAGCCCTGATGTAGGTTGTTGGCGGATGTTGTAGTCATGTGACCCAGCCTAACTAGCGGAATTCATGGCTGAGTCAGCTGGCTGGAATTTTCGGTGTGGGTGGAAGAGAGGGGGTTTTGGAGTCGTAAAGAGGTGGGGAAGGCAGCTACGAATCATCAGGAACAAGTGAGACCCCATAAACACCTCAGGCCTCACCATCAGATGTAGTGAGAAAGGCGAGATGGACAAGTCAAGGACACTGGTCAAATTTGCCGGCGACGGCGAATGGTGCGGCTTCGAATCTAATGCCCCTTTTTCCGAAATGGCAGGTGTTCGTGGTAGCTATGGCCAAGTCAGACTCTATCACCCACCCCGTGGAGCCTCACCATATACAAAGATGAAGGTGTGAGAGAACGAGAAATTGGCCAGACTTAGCAGGACGTCATCGTAGAGGCCTGCCGCGACGGAGGGATATAACGGATCGGAGGTGCTAAGGGTAAAGAGAACTAGCCGAGAAGCGGCTCGATTCCAGTACTCAAGATGAGACCTTGATGGCCTAATGCTCTCAAGCAATTTGAGACTGATTTCACCTCGCAATAGTGACGGTGGGCATGAGAATGTTCCTCCTGGGCCGAGGCTCTTCAACTTCGGCCTGGCTACACACAAGCTGTAGCACATTGTAACATAGCAATAAATCTCGAAGATACCAGTATCGATCATATTCACAGTGAGAATTTTCATGACTATGCAAAGATGTAATTTCATTGGCAATCCATTTATTAAAAAAGGGAATAATTATGGAATTAGAAATTTATCGCGCTATTCTAGATCGCCTGATCATAGACTTGATAGGAATGTAGAGCAAATTAATTACCTAGCCTGTAGAATTTTTATAGAAAATTTACAAAATCTATGCACTGCCCCTAACCTTTCTACTGTAGCTTCCTTGAAATACTTGGAGCTTTCTTCGGAGGCCCATTTTCCCATAGATCCCTCTCATCACATAGCCAGCCCTTTCCTGGTTGGCTGGTGAAAGTTTCGGCGGGTACAGATGTATCTGATTGAGGTGGTAGCTTGATCGTCTTTAGCTGGCCTATGCTCTCCTCGTCGCTCATATACTTGGGGACGTGACAACCAAAACTTTCGTCGTATTCAGAAGTCGGGAGACCGAGATTATTTAATAATTTGGAAGTATCTTTACAAAACTTGAATTGAATGTAATCTTTTCGTCGATCTGAAAATTGTTCATCATAAATGTACTTGGGGTGGTCGAAGTTCTCAGGATTACGATTATGGTATGCTTTGTTGGATTCTTCCTGACTGGCGTTCAGCATAAGGCTGGGTAAGCTTGTTGTGACCATCAACTTATTGAATCCAATTATCACGTTCATGAACCATGATATTTGAGGGATGGCTTGGTAAATAAAGTCCACAATTATCGGGGCATTAGAATCTTCTTGACCTATTCTAGTGAGAGGATACCACCATGTGTGATCGTCATCATCGGACACTCGTTGTTCAAATATGTGTAGGTGTCCTTGGAACCAAGCCATTGCATTCGGGCTGATTAATAATCCTCTATCTCGAAGTAACTCTCCCTCGGAAAGGAAAGATTCCATGCGTATGGGCTCGTCGGCAGTTATATTGAAGTTTGGTGCTTCCACCGGCGCTGCAAAACATGAATAGTTTCCGCTCACACCCAATATTCCCTGGAAGTTGAGACTTGCCAAGTTATCATCCGTACAATAACCGTCCTTCTTGAGTTCTGACATGCTGAGCTCGACAGCAGCAAGACTCTTTTTTTCAATATAACTCCGACACTTCGTTTCTAAATTGACATGTTCCGAGGAAGATAGCTTGGGAGAGCGGGTTATGTCGGGCAAGTCTTTGATGATGACGTCAACGAGTTGACTCAGATTGTTAATGATGGAGCAGTATGCTACTACATGAGTGCCGGGTTGAGTGATTTGGCTCGCAGATACGTGAATTCCAAGTTTTTCCTCTGGCACTAGAAACTGATAGCTTAGGGGAACGTTGTAGACACCATAGTGCGATAAACCATTGTCCAAGCCCGTGACCACTAAGCGTCCGACCGTATTCAAGAGGATGGCGATTGCGCAACTCATGGATACAAATTTCTATCAATTCTGTAGTATGCAATGATGGACTCTCTCAATTTCTCGTTGCAGTGAGTTATCACAATTACCTAGTCCTCTAATATATTGGTCGAGATTCTGCTGAAGGAAGAATTTTGGCAAACATCGTAGTCAAGGATCAAATTGTCCTCTAGTCAGGCTAAAATATGTGGAGCTGCTGTAAATAAATTAGAGCTAATTTGATTGTATCGATGCAAACTTCGTGACAGATTGTATGGTCTATGGCGAAGTGAGATGAAGGATTTTGTCAGGGTATCTGATTAATGCTTTAGGGGTGACATCCTATATGTGATCAAGGTTTGCTCGGCGTCTTCTTGTTTTTGTCATTTTAACTATTAGACGGATTGCCCCGCTCATGCCCTCTGAGATTCACCATGAGCGGGCCCAGGATAGGTCGGGTTGACTGCTGTATATGAAGCTGACCCGGTTCTAAATTAGTAATCGGAACCGGCTGAGCGACGGAAAAAAGATGCCTGTGAGAATAGAAGATTCGGATCATAATACCCCCGTGCAAGGTTCGGAATAGCTGTTGCACACACCACCTCTGTCGAGTAATTCCACATCCGAATAAGCAGTAACTTTTATAGATATAGAAGATATAGCATACAGATCACAACAGATTACAACAGGCCTTTACATACGGATATACATGTGCAATAAGGGCCGAGTGTTATTGGTATCCAAGACGCACATGCCTATGAGTCTTGCGCCCACGTGCTATCGCTAATCTGCCAAATGATCCGTAAGATGTTCGGGAATACATTTTGAGATCCACAAGAATATCTCGGTGTTTATTTCACTAGTTGAATCTATAAAAATTTAGGACATTAGAGTCCTCTCTGATCCAGGTCCGGTATTTTATAGTGCTCCAATCTTCAATTGTTCCGAAAAAAGATATCTGATAAAATTTCCACGATGCATAGCCATTCAGCTTAGTGTTTACCCGTGGAATTCCGGCACCTACGTGACGGAACCTTCCACCCAAGAAAATGGTCGCAATGAAATCAGCGCGCGCAGGAAAAATACTCAAAAACCGCTAGCCCAGCCAGACGAGGTCTATATATCCATCTAAATCTCCCATCTTTGCAACATTAGAGGCCAACTTGAATCAATCTAGCATCGCCGTATCCGGTGCTGGGAACGCTCCGGAAACTCATGGGATGGCTTTCCCCCATGATGATGGTAAAGGGGCTGTGCTTAGAGATACAGACTGCGAAAACTATTGGGATTGGTCATGGAAGTGAGGATGATGGTGATACTATTGTGGTTATGGGCTATGCGGAAGCCATATTGCGGAGTGATGAGGAGTGGATGACGTTATAATTAGTGAGTGACAGTGAATAGACTCATACAATATTATGCTGTAGGTATATGAACAGAAAGTATAAGACTAAACCTGTGTCCATTTATTGTGGATACATCTATGAAACTATATACATGCTCGCCTAACCAGTACACTAGTGATGTATGCTGTGGCCTTGAGCCACACGCGATACCCTAGCCTCGACTACCTCGTTGTCTCATATCATAACAGATACTCAATCTCGGCTCCGCACACTCTACAGTGAGAGTGCGAGCGACACTATAACCACCGCCATGGTTGGATGGTGTGGTGGTCCATTGTGTTGCCCGGTATGACAATTAGAGTCTGGACAGCCTAGATACATATCCCACTCGAGACAGTAGATCGCTGGTTCAAATCCGGCAAAATACAACCACTTCACTCGCTGCACTGGTATGCATGGATGACGAAGGCATGCTCGGATTATCAATGGTCTTGAAATTCCCTTTGGGGGTACTTACGGAGGATTGTCGACTGCTTATGCAAGCAATTATATCTCATAGTGGTATTTGTGAATGAAATCCAGAGTATGAGTGTCTCTAACGTCGAAAGAGTCATACATCATGTAAACATAATATCGATCATGTGTCAAAGCTAGATAGCGGAAGACACGTTAAATGGTGCAAAGAAAGCCCCCCCCCCAGCACGGGAGCTAGGGGAGTGTAAGTGAGGACTGAATGGGCTGATACTAGGACGCCAAGTGCTGGGGAGCCCTTGAAGCTGATAAGTCATTCAAAGGCCACTTCAGAATATCATAGGACTCTACTCTGTACGTGGAGGAAAAAGAGAGGATATGAATCATTCATAAGCGAATCTAACTTGGATTAACTCATAAAATATGAAGGAGCGGCCCGGGAGCAGACACCTCGAGATTTAAGCAAAAAGCGAAATGAGCATGGAAACAGGAAGAATCGAGCCCTATTAGACTATTGGGGTGTGTTAATTTAACGGCGTGCCAACTCTTAACACAACCATAAGGTCCCGTACTGGCTAGCTCAGTCTATATATACCACCCGACATGTGCGCGGTTGTGCCAATAGGTAGGAAAGTTGAGGCTATCAAACAGGCCACTAGATCGAAACACGTGTAACTAAAAACTGTGTACAAATTTGACTCAGTTGAACGAATGCAACATACACCCGCATGAAAGAGAGGTCATCATTTGTCTTATTACTATATATTACAATTGGATACCTTGTCTCTATTGACGCGGCATAATCACTAGGTGGTGCCGCATAAGGTCCAGCTAAGCTCTCAAATGATCCATTCTATTTCCCTCTTTTTGCACCAGATTTTGTTGCGTATGCCGCTATATAGCTGTGACATATCGCAGTGGTACTTGCACATGAAATCCGAGGCGTGAGTGCTCTAGTTCTAATTGAGTCATCTAATTTGTACTTTTTCTCTGATATTGTGTCATAGCTACATAGCTGCATTTGCAATTAAAATCTGATGCGAAAAAAATAGTTATGACACAATATCAGAGAATAAGTACAAATTAGATGACTCAATATACAAGAAGGGCACTCATGCCTCGGATTTCATTTGCAAGTACCACTGCGAAGTTATGGCGACTTTTTCTTCACCCCAAGTCAACTCCCATCCGTGAATACTCACTCAGCGAAATGTCTCAAAAACTCTGAGTTATCCAGATATGCTTCCATCATCCACTGAATATTCTCCGCGCGAAATGAAGTCTAAGACGTCTTTTTCCTGAGCGGAGTGGGTGTCCAGGCTACTCAAACTATATCACAGAACACCATTAGGTGGTGGACCACGACACCTTCCATCGTTGGCTTGCTTTTAAGTGACAGCTGCACTCTCGCAATGGAGGGCTTGGCGTGAATAATGCTCTTTTGTGTAAAATTCCTGGCCAAAAATCGGAATTTCACGCCTGTCGAGATAGTATCCATCCTCTATGTCATCTTGTAAACTTGTGCTGATCCCTCTCACGTCCATCCCATCGAATCATCTCCCAGATTTGTGCACTACGCTTTGCTTTCTCTTGCGGGTATAAATATCGGCATGAGCGTGTATTTGGTGACTAGCTGAGGCTCGAGAAATTCGATGAGTGGTGTGGCTATTGGAATAAGGATGTACCAAGTCGTTCTCTTTAACTTGATCATTTTATGGTGGGAACCGATGTCGTTGGGAGTGAAATATTGACATGATGGAGTATCTTGAATCATTGCCTCGTGGACCAAAATCTTTGGTATTGCGAAATTTGACTGAACTTGGCTCTGAGAGAATATTTCACTTCCAGGTTCGTAGATGACACCGCATACAGGTGTTCAGTCTTACCATCCACGTGCTTGAATGTGAACGGTGATTAGGCAGTTTATTCTCAGTAGTTTCGTTTAATATCTTGTTATTGGTATCTTCGGCTCTACTCCGAATCCTACACTAGTCTGGCGTTTAGTAAGCCTACAAAGTACCTACAGTCTACGTTCTCCAGCATAGGTATGTTCACAACGTCAGTGCCAACTTACGCTTGTACTCAAAGTCGAGTACTGCATTGTTGGGAACTATTTTATACCTCAATAATGGGGGCTTGTCTGGAGGACAGCTACTAGCCTTGCAGATAGGAGGGTCATATTTGCAAGTTATGTCTTGTCTTGTTCATTTATGTGCTAGGTAAAGTGATTCTCGTTGCAATCCTACTGGAGCTTAAGCACGGGTGGGGCCGGGCTGGATAAGGTTAACTACCGTAAAGTACAAGTGCCTCGTCCCACCTGAATGACCGGACCACCTCAGACTTCGCCCATGTGTTAAATCATGTCAGGCCCAACCGTCCAGAGAGCCCCCTTTTGGCGCGCCGAAGCTCAAATTCCTCCTCAGCCTCGGCCACCACGCGCCCGAGCCCTTGACACCTTCGCCATCTGTAAATTTTCCCTTCGATTCATTCGTAGCTTTGGCTCATCTCGGCATCTCCTCATCTCATCCAGGAGTCTTTTTATTCACTGGAGGCCTCATCTAGTCGTCCACCGAGGCCACTTCAATCTATATTCCCTTTCCCCCCATCCACCATAAAGCATCCCTCTGTCCTTCAGCCGATCTCATTATCCCAGAAACTTTGTAAAATGTCAAACCCTCCGGCCTTGACCCGTCGCTGCAGTACCCCTAACCGTGGAGGTCGAAAACGCAACTGAGAGCTCAAGACCGAGGCACCGATGCCCCAACCTTTGTCGAACGCTCTTGTTAGTGTGCCGGACAAATTTCGTACGTATTTCGTCGGTGGCGATTCGTCGTAGGTCGAGTTGTTGGTGCCCTTGGCCGAGTTGAGGACGCATCTAAGGCCGGTATTTCGACCGTACCTTCATAGCGACTGGCAGATGCGGAGGGTCGGACATCCTCTTGCTTCTTTGTTGGCGAATTGGCTTTTGAAGGTATGGGATTGCTTAGGTAGGTGGTGAGATGATTCTTGAGAGGGCCGCGAGACGAGTTTGGCTAGGAATGATTTTCCAGAGAAATAGAAAATAAGATGTTGAAGGTGTCGGTTGTTATAATACGAACATTAGACAGGTTATAGCCTGTCTGTGGTTCGTATCTGGGGTGTACATGGTTGATTTCGTTGAGTTGTGCAGTCGTGAAATTTCTGCAAGTCGGATTCTCGACCAAAAATGAGCCA